GGCTAATCCAGGTTGGGAAGTGGAATCCCGTTCCCCTCTCCTATGTGACGGATGCCCCTGATGCTACAGTAGCAGACATGCTGCAAGACGTGTACCATGTGGTCACACTGAAAATCCAGTTACACAGGTAAGTTGCGTACCAGTTCTGGGATGTAAACTGTTACTCGTCTGCTCTCACGGTTAATATTGCTCGTATTTAATTCTCCCTGTGCTGTATGCTCAAACTACAAAGGCTTATCTAAATTCCTTTCTAGTTACTATAATTCTTCTGTAACTTACAGCATGCTATTGCAGAAAACTTTTATAGCTCTGATACATAGATTTTCTTTGGATTTCTCATTAAAAGTATATTGCATTTTAGTCAATTAAATGATGCATTACAAGAAGGCATTTTACATAAAGTTTACTTAAGAGAAAAATATTTTTGCATATCATGAACAGTACCATCTGTGTGCATTTTGTAAAAGAATGACTTGCTCACACTTATTGTTGCCGTCTAGGTTCTTATATTTCACAGCAGCAAAAAAGAAAAAAATGGTAAATATATTAATGCTTTTCATGATCAGTCGTGAGAAAGCATTACACCTTAAATTGTTTTACCAAGCGCATCAGAGCAGGAAGGTAGAAGTAACATGAAAAAATAGTCGCCACATGCAGCTGATGTATAATTCATGCATCAATACAGCAGATGTGTTGTATAAAGTAATTAACTAATCGGAACAATCAGGAGACCGAGAGCAATCTCCAGATGCATCTGCTTGATGCGCAAAATGAAATCTGTCTGTCTTAAAGGAATGTTCTGCAGCAGGATGCAATCTTGTAATAATCCCTTTTCTAATCTGTGTTTCAAATAGTTGCCCTAAACTAGAAGACTTGCCTCCTGAACAATGGTCTCACACAACAGTAAGAAATGCTCTGAAGGACTTACTGAAGGATATGAACCAGAGTTCATTGGCCAAGGAATGTCCCCTTTCACAGGTACTTAGCATAACATGTAATAAATAATAAAGCACTACAGGCAACACTGATGTGAGATTTGAGATTTCTACAGACTGCAGCAAGTAGTATCTGTAGAGTGAATCTGCCAAAAATGCAAATTCATTTGACCACTTCATGATCTTTATAAATATGCCTGATTCGTTTTGAACATAGTCTTACAACGTTTCCCAAGGGGAGCTGTGAAAGATTGTTTACACCACGCTAAAATTGTCTCATAGCAAACTGGATTTTAACTGGTTTTTGTCTTCAGTCTTTGAACTGCTTTGATGTAACTACTTTTTTCAAGCACATGTGTTCAAGATGTTAAAAAGCTCTTTACTTACTGCTGTCAAAAGTACTATTGAATCTGAATGCTTGTTAGATAACCTACAGTAGTTTTAAATGCTAATTCATAAAATGAGACAGTCTTTGGCATGCTATATGAGAGGGGAATAAAGAATAAAGCTCTTTGGATGATGTGTTGTTGTTGCAAACAACCAAAGGAAAATCAGCCATTTATTAGTTCTAATCAAAATATACCTAAACAAAAATGAAATCTCAAATTATGCATTGCTAAATATTGAACGGATGCTTTCCTTATGCTTTGGTTGTATTGCTCTTTTTTGTCATTGATTTAAATTACTGTGAAGGAGCAACTTATTTTTCTGTGCAGTAGTGTCCAATGATGCTGTGGGGGGAACATCATATTTATTGTTATCTTTTAAGATTTTAAAATTATTTTATTGTGGTGCAGAGGAGACAAATTCAGCTCACGTACAAGTGATACTGGTTGTGGCTGGGAGGGGGAAAAAGGAAGTTAAGGAAGTTAAGGAAGTTGCATGTTTTTTATAGGGATTTTATTTCTCTTGCTCCAAATACTGGAGTGTTTGTCTCCAAAAGACTTCAGTTAATCTATACAGAATCACGCTCTCTCTCTTTCTCTGTCAAATTTCTATTAGATCTATTAGCAGGCTGTTTCCCCATCACTATTTTTCCCTTATGGGTAGATTGTTTTCAGTGATGTGGCTACAATATAGGAAGTTTTGAAGTGGAAGTAATCAAAATTATTTTCACTGGTTGCAAACCATTCCAGTAATACGTCTGCAAAGCTATCTTGACTGTACCTACTATACTATATTATAAAAGCGTGAACTTTTGCACTGCTGACACACGGAGGCTGCACGTAATTTGGTATTTTCTCCATTTTGGTCTACAACTGCTAGTTTTCACTTGATACTGGTGGAAGTAGGCAAATTCTATAGAGATGAAATATTTCCTTTGTATTTGGGCATAGTGTTTCATGTAGCGGCTTGTGTATATATATGTTGATGATACAATGCTAAAGCAGGAAAAAAAATTTTTTCCCCCTTTTTTTTTTTTTTTATACTTCATCAGGGATAATATCATGCTACTGGCCACAATTAAGTACCTACGCTCTTCCTTTACCTAAAATATATTTTTTTTAATCAATATTGAATTTTGGATAAAAATTTTAATGGGCAAAATATATTGAGTCTAATATGGTGCTTGATGATGGTGGCTGATATTACCAAAAAATAAGATTACATAACTCTAATTTTGTGCTGTTTGTTTACTGTTTTGTGCTTTTGCATTTGTAAAATAAGATATTCAGACTTGTGAGGTTTTTCTGTTGTTCAAAGCGTGCCTATTATTTTTGTCATCTCTTTATGTTTACCAGCACTGTGGTAGCTGGGTTGCAAAAAATTTAAACAGGGTTTGCTTTTCTTCCTATAGTCTATTTCTTTAAAGAACAAGTCATGACAAGTATAAAATATGTATATTTAGTCTGAACTTCTGCAAAAATAAATTGTCATAGTGGTTGATTCGGAAGCAATCAGCCCCCTTAAATCTTCCCGTTTACCTGCAGAGCTTTAGAGGAGACCTGCAGTACCTAAACGTGTTGATCTGGTGTCCTTTTCACATGAGTAAATTGATCTGAATACTTCCTATACTTGGCTAACTAATTGTATATTGCTCCTATGCAAAGCAGACCGATTTAAGACTGTCTGTGTTTTGTTAAACTTATCGAAGTTTGTGAGGTCCACGATGGTGTGCTGCTGTAACAGAGGTCAGAAGCAAGAGCGAATCAGAAGGCTGAAGGCGTTATTTCCTTGGAAGATTTGCCAGAATATTTAGTACTAGACTTGTTGAGAAAGGAATAGTTTCTCCTGTTATGTATTTTCATGGACATAGGTAGTGCTATATAAAGTGCTTCATCACCAATGCAAACTAAAGCAGCAATGCCTTACCATAACTTATTAACACTGTTATGGATATAATTTATTAACTACAGAAAAATGACTCAAAGTCAAAGTGAGAACAGTTATCGTTTTTCTGTCTCTGTCATTAGCAATAGTCTGTTTTGTATCCATACGAAAGGATTTCTTGTGAAGTATTTAAGCTGCTTTGCTATTTGCATGGCATCTGCAATGCAAAGTTTAAGAATGGAAGACTGAGAATCATCATCCTAACTTAGAATTTACAGCATTTTCTTAGTTAATCTTGCATTTTGTGTCCTAAAAAGTTGCTCTTATTTATTCAGAATACTGATATTTTGTGTACTGCAAAAGATAAGCAAACTGTTTTTATAGTGCAGATATATTTAATGGCCCTAAAATATGTAGGCAGATGCAAACTGTATTTGAGATCCAGTTTGTCTTAATTATAGAGCCTAGAAAACTTAATGGCATCTTCCACTTCAGTGGGATTTTTTGTTTGTTTTTTTTGTTTTTTGGCCATTTGTTTTCTTGTCACGCTAAAACCTTGAGGTGAACGGGTATGAATGCATCATGCCTTGCTCCATAGGACAGCTCTGTGACTCTGGCTCTTATTAGGAGGGGTGAATGCATGGTCTTTTGAAGTCGCTGTGGTTGCCTGTCTCTGAGAATGCTGTGGCCACCCCTGAAGGTCAGGTTTACCACTTTAGATATAAGCCTGCATCATGGGGAATCCCCCTTGACACGAATTGGAGTCCTTAGGACAGATTGGAGCAAATACATGGCTCTGAATTATTCTCAGATTTTGGTATCGAGCAGGCAAGATAAAAGGACACTACAAATTTCCCATGGCTGTGCCAAGCCTTTTCTGAATTATGAGCTGCAGTGTATTTTCATGCTTTTCCTTGGGTTTGCAGATTTCATTACTAGCGACTAGCAGCGTATGCAGATGCTGGGTGAGAGACTTGTGCTTTATGTGCATGGCTCACTTCGTTTCTATTTCCTCTCCAGGCCTGCTTTGATGGGGAAAGCGACTTGGAATTTAATCTAGGGCCATCTTGTACATTCCATCAAACTGGTGCATCTCCTGAGTGGCCTAGATCTCATTTCCCTTCTGTTTTGGCTCTTTAGTCTCCAAAGAGTTGTAAATAAATTGCCGTACCATCAATTCTTATTTCCAACCCCTTGCACAGAAGCTCTACTCCACCTCAGTCTGGTGGGAGCCGCTCTAAAGCGACCAGCCAGGCAGGCCTGTTGCATTTTATTTATTTCATGTTACTCCTTTCATCTCTCAAACTTAGTTCGAGCATTTTCATACTTCATTTTCACTGTTTTGTTCTGTTTTGGTTTTTAGTGCAAAAGTTTCATACTACTTTTGTAATTAAAATAACCGAAATATCACTGACCCTATTTAGTCTGTTATTAATAAGCTTTTGGTTTTTTTCCCTATTGACTTGTTCTCTTTGTCTGTCTCTCTTTACACGTGTGTGTATACACACATACACATATATGTTTAGACAAGCTTTTATAGCAAGAGGAAAGCAACATGGGCTGTTTGCTTCAGAAAAGGCTTGAAATTCTCTCCATAATTCTGGAGCAAATTGAATGTATGCTTTTGAATGTTTAGATGTACCCCCTTATCTTGAGTTCCTGTAACCTTTTCCATGAAAGGAAGATAACAAGTCCTCTACCAAACTGAGAAATTGCAGAGATTAATTAGTATCTGGGCATTGCTTTGAAAATATGGCAGTGATCAAATGACATTGACTTTCCAACTGGTATTTTCTCACCTGAGCTTTTTGAGCTTTTTCTATAAAAAGATTTTTTTTTAAAAAAAGATCTTGGTTGGTATTCACAAACAGGCTTGGTTTTTATCACTTTTTTTAATCAAACCATTATAAAAGCACTTGTGAAGGAAAGTATTCTTTCTCTTCCCTTATAGTATCTCAAAACGTGTGAGTGTTTTTGTATTTTGTTTTGTTTTTTGGATCGTCCTTTGAAACTGCTCCTACCTTGCCAAACTCTCACTGGTAGCCGGTGTGTTACTGATAAGAGATTCAAGGGCTGACATATAGCATCTCATGGTTTTGTGTGGGGTTTTTTTTTTTCTTTGTGTGTTTTGATTGTAACGGAAATGCAGTGTTTCCGAGGAATATATCCACAACCTGTGATACATAAGGGTCCTTCGTATGCATGATATTGTTTTTTGAAATTTTGAGGATGTTTGTTCCCTAGCCCCAATATCCGCAATATCTTTTACTTAATTTTGCTCATGATGATCAGGGAGAAGGGTTTTTTCCCGTTAGCGAGATACCTGCATGCATTTTTGTAACGTGCTTGCACACACAGCAAGTGCTGCTGCGGCTCTGAAATCGGAATAGTTTTGCACTTGTAATAAATATAGCTGTCCTGACTGCATTTTGATCAAACTTTCGTACTGTAATAAATGGTTGACTGCCTGTAACATGGGCACAGTATATATCAAATATTTTCCTTTTTGTTCAAATATCCTGTCCTGAATTTGCACACTGTTTTATGCAGATATCCTGCAGACTTAATATCGTCTGGCAGAGATGCCAGAAAGGAAGCTTGCTTGGAACATAAATGTCTTTCAGTTTACCTGATCCAAACGTACCTGGCCGTCGTAGCAAATAAGTAGCATAATAAAAGTCCTCTTTAATCTCCTGGCACTGCTTGTGAGCACTCCTCAGCCCTTTGTCCTCCCCCCTCCCCCCACCCCCCCAAAATCAGAACCAAACAAAA